TGGCTGAGGAACTCTGGGAGTTGAAGTCCACAAGTCTTAAAGTTCCCAAGGTTGGAGACCCCTGGACTAGAAGACCTTTGAGGTCTCTTCCATTGAGGTCTCTTCCTGACCTTGGTGCAATCTCCTCCTTCCTTTCTCTTTCCAGGAAGCTCTGCAGTGCGTACAGGAACTGGGCTGCCCCACTCAGCTCTACATCTTTGTCCGGAATGGCATCGAGTCCACGTTAGAGCGAAGCACCATCGCTCGCGAGCACATGGGGCTTCTCCTCTACCACTTGGTCAAGGCAGGCCACCTCTCCAAGGAGCAGTACTATAAAGGGTAAGGGGGCGGGGGGAGGCTGCCTCTCACCAGGAAGAGCTGCGGGAAGGGTTGCCGAAGGGTTGGGGAGAAGGAGGAGGATGACACACCGCCAGGAATCCTAGAAGCTGGCACGATCCTCACGCCTGGCTTTTGACTTCTAGACTTCAAGAGATCCTGGAGATCGGGGAAGACATGGAGATTGATATACCCCATATATGGCTGTACTTGGCAGAGATTATCACCCCCATTTTAAGAGAAGGCGGGATTCCCATGGAGGAGCTCTTCAGGTAAGCTAAGCGACAACCCTGCGTTTTGTTCCAAAGGTGCTTTTCCAAAAGTCAACTGTACTTCTTTGGTGGTGGTTTTTAGGAATGATAGTCACCAACAGTTGGGCTGGAAATATATAAACCAGGATAGTTAATTTAAGACTGTTGTATCTTTAAGAGAATGCTGTAATTGTGATTGGCTGAGGTTCCTCCAACGGCCATAAGATGGAGCCAGAAACCTGGTTTGCTCTCTCTTGCATTTCCTCTTTTGCCTTTTGCCTGGTCGTCGTTCTGCTTGGATTGCTGTGAGTCTTGCAACTGTTAGAAAACTCTGTTTACTGAACTCTGTTTATGATACTTGACTTCGTTTTTGGATTATCCCTGGACTGATACTAACTGCTTTAACTGTGTATGATTTGGGCTTTTTGTTGGACTTTGTTTACCCATTTACTGGAAGTAAAACCTACATTTTACTATTCAGTGTATCTGTATGCTGGTTGTGTGTTATTCAACATCACTCTCACTACGTTTCCCTGAGTGCACTCATTCTTCTAATGGGGAATACCTCAACGGTGGTGGTTTTAAAAAAGAAGCTCATCCAAGAAGCTTCTTCAGTTCTAACTGAATGCTGGGGAATTCTTAGTTAGAACAGAAGAAGCTTCTTGGATAAGAAGTGAAACCTTTTTTTAAAAAAAGAACAACAACCAAGGAAGTCCAATGGGGAAGTCTTACAGAAAAAGCACCTTTGGAATTATTGTGACCTGGATCATTGAGAATCTCCATAAAAACTCCTGTGCTTTCTGCTCTTGCTTCCCATCCTGTTGTATGACCTTCTTTCCTCTTTCTGCTTTTTTTTTCCCAGGGAGATCGCCAAGCCCCTAGTCCCTATTGGCAAAGCCACAACTCTATTGGTGGAGATCCTGGGCCTACTTTGCAAAGGAATGGTATGTTCTCCTGCAAGCAACCATCTGCTTATTGGTCTCTGTGAAGGATTGAGAAGAGGGACCCTTGTGGGTCACGTGTTCGCTTAGCACCGTCGTGTGTCCCTGTTATTGGGTTACCTAGGACAGTGGTCACCAACCGGTGGGTCGGGGATCACTGGTGGTCCGCGAGAAAATTTTGGTGGTCTGCAGAGAAATGTCCCCCCCAAATCAATTAATCCAGGCTGCATGAGAACACAAGGCTGCACCGCCCACATGGCCCACCCACTTGCTGGCCCCCACCCTTCGGCCAAGTGCAAACCTTACCTTGAGTAGAGCCACGCGAATTAGAATTGGAAGGTAAGACCAACGGCGGGGGAGGGAAATTTGCCCCGGGGTGGCTTGCTAACGTTGGTGGGAAAGTCGGTCCCATATTCCAGAGCTGCAGTAGTCACAGGACTGGCCCTTTGGTCATCCCGGAGCAGCTCCTCCAGTCCGTGGGAGGCCGGTGCACCCGGGTGGAGGAGCAGCTGCTCTGGGATGACCAAAGTACTGCAGCTCTGGAATATGGGACCGAATTTCCCACCAACGTCAGCAAGCCACCGTCAGTCAAAATTCATATTAGTGGTCCGCGGGATTTAAAATTATGAGTTTGGTGGTCCCTGAGGTGCAAAAGGTTGGCAACCCCTGATCTAGGAGAAGCCCATTCAGATAAATCGGCCTCTAGAATGCGCCTTATTTCGCAGCTTTTGGTTCACTTGATCCAAAACGACATCTAACACAATCTTTCACTCTCCTTCCACATTTAGAGAAGAGCTGTGAGCTCAGAGTTTAGCTTCATTTACTTTATTGTCATTGCACCTCATACAACAAAATTAAATGCCATCTTCAGTGTACATTATGACTATGAAAATAAACACAAACGCACATCCTTCATATTCTGTACGTTGAATTGAAAACCCCTGATGTTGCATTAATATTGCACCATACAGTAGAATTCAACAGAGCTACTGCCCTGGGATAGAAGCTGTTTTTCAGCCTATTTGTCCTTGTTTTTATTGTCCTGTACCGCCTGCCAGATGGTAATAGTTCAAAAAAAGGGGGTGCCCAGGATGAGATGGATCTTGGAGAATGAGCAGGTGGTTTAGTGGGAGTTAATAGTAGGGCCTTCTTGGTGAATGATGGACAGGTAGTCCTTGATTTAAGGACCACAATTGGAATCAGAATTTTTGTTGGCAACCAAGGTGGTTGTTAAATGAATCACAAAGTTGTTAAGCAATCTCAGCTTCCCCCACTTGCTTGTTGAAAGCCAGGTGGGAAAGTCACAAGTGGTGATCACACAATCCTGGGACGCTGCAACCATCGTAAATACATGCCAGTTGCCAAGCACCTGAATTTTGATCACGTGACTTAAGGATGCTGCAGGTGTCATAAGTGGGAGGATTGCTTGCAAGTCACTTTTCTCAACCCCATTATAGCGTTAAGGAGTCACTAAACAAATGATTGTAAGTCAAGATCTACCTGTATTCTACTTGTCCTTCTAGAACAGGGGTCCCCAAATTTGGCAATTTTAAGACTTGTGGATTTCAACTCCCAGAATTCTCCAGCCAGCTGGAGTCCACCAGTCTTATTAAAGCTGCCAAATTTGGAGACCTCTTTTCTAGAATTAAGAGGAAAAAAAACCACCTGTGATACATTAGACTTTAGATATAGATGCTGTTTTGAGTCTATTGCCCCAAACACACAACACAAATTCACAGCATCTGAGGTTTGTGGCTATTCTCTTTCAGTGTAGGTTTCGTGACAAAGCAGGGGGGGACGGCTGTCATTTCAGTGAGGTTGTACACAAAATGGTGCAAAGATTGTTTCTCTTCGCTGTAGAGCCACAAGAAGGCAGGAACATTATGGAGAGAAGGTGGACTGAGTTGGAAAGAATTCCTGCCGGAGAACCAGGATATCAATAAGTTCATCACAGAACAGGTAAGGAGCAATTGCTGAGTAGGAAGGTTGGTGACAGCATCCAAACGACAGAAAATTAAGATTAAAATTTAGCTTTAAGCCTCCTGCTTTCTCATTGCTCACCTGAAGTAGGGTAACATTCCAGCAATACTATTCCCATAGGATGCTTATGGGTCTGCTGGATCAGGAGAGAGAGAGAGTGTGTGTATTATGGCTTAGAGCAGTGTTTCCCAAACATGGCTGCTTCAAGATAAGTGGACTTCAAGTCCCAGAATTCCCCTTTGCACTGCAGCAAAAGCCAGTGTGTGGTAGTGCAGTGCCTTGGCTACATGAAGATATGTGGAGTCAGTCAGCTGGGAATTTTGGCAGTTGAAGTCCACACATGTTCAAGCGGCCAAGGCTGAGAAACACCGATTTTAAAGAGTTTAATTTCGGTCTCATTCATATTTCAGGCTATGCCCAGAAAGCCAGGATTTGTATCCTTTCAAATCTATCCCACTGTTTTGAACTCTTCCTTGTGATCTGTGACATTCTGGGCTAAGAATGCTTCATCCGTAGCCAGATCAATGCCATCTTCTCATCTGTATGAAACGCCATGTATTTTCTCTCAACTTTTCCTCCCCCCACTTTTTTTAAAAAATAAATAATAATAATTGCAAGCTGGTGTGATGTTGCACCATTTGTTCTCACCCAGCCCAACCTGCATCCCAGGATGACCATCAAATGAGAAAATAGGAAGAGGGAACACCATGTACGGCGTGTTTTATTATATGTTGTTATTATTGAACAAGAGGCAGGGTATAAATCTAAGCCTAATGCAGCCATTGTGAGGTTCTGGGCACATTTTTCACTTGCCCATGCAACACCACCTCTTTGCAAGCTACCCTGGCTTCTGGGTGCGACTCAGGGTGGTGGCTGCCATCTTAGAAATGCCTGCATGGCTCTGAGCCAGGTTGCTTGCAGGACTGCGTATCTGCAATTGTTTCTACCAGCTCTGGCAAAGTTCACACACTTGGGGCACCGTCGATTAAGCAGTGTCATCCCTCAAGTCCCAGGAGGGATGCCTTCTCTGCTGTCAAGCCTTCCCTCTGGAAAAACCCTTCCCTCTGCTCTGTTCGTTTTCTGGAAGGCTTGAAAAACACGATTCTCTAGGAGCTGAAACAAGTGTTTTGTGGGTCCACGAGGTTTCTTTTAAATTGTGAGTGACGAGCCGTTTTTGCTTGGAGTTGTGAGTTGCCTTGTGGTTCTACTGCAATGAGGTTTCTTCTGTTTTCCCTTGTGTTGTTTTAGATACGGTATTGTTAGCGGCTCTTGTAAACTAGGGGTGAATGTCTACGGAGGTTTTCAGTCATCCAGGTCATGGTTTGCCCCAAAGGTGCTTGTATTCAAGAGGCAACTGGACTTTCTAGTTTCTCTTTGGTGGGGAATTAAGGATTTATATCCCTTGCAGACAGTTGGTCATTTGCAATCTTTTAGAGAATAGTTGAGGCCGCTTGGAAGTTTATTTAAGTCCTCGGGGTTACCTGAGTAGTGCATATGGATGTGGAGCCTTAAGTTAAGCCCACGCTTACTTGCACTACTCAGGTGACCCAGAGGACATAGATAAACCTCCAAGTGGCTTCAATGACTCTTTAAAAAGAATGCAAATGACCAGCTGTTTGTGAGGAGTATAAATCCTTCCATTCCCAATGATCCAGTCAGAGTTTGAAGAAGCTTCTTTGGATGAGAAGCGAAATGTTTTCAAAGAAAAACCAAAAAGTCCAGTTGCCTCTCGAAAAAAAGGCACCTTTAAGACAACCATTGACTTGGATGACTGAGAATCTCCATAGGTACCTGTGACCTGTCGCCCTAATCAGATCTGCTCCCCTTTTGTTTCTTCTTTCCAGAAAGTCGAATATACCATGGGCGACAGTTCGGATGCTCCCAGTCGGAAAGAGCTCACCTCTGAAGAACTCTGCAAACAACTAGATAAACTATTAAAAGAAAATGCCAATAACCAAAGAATATACGATTGGATTGAGGTGAGGAATCCTTTGAAGGGCTGTTCCAGGAGCTTTTTAGTAGGCTGTATTGCTATTTTCCTATTAACCCGGTTGTTAGGTGAATCTGTCTTCCCCAAAATATTTTGCTTGTAAAAAAAATCAGTAAAAGATGATCACATGACCCCGGGACACTGCAACTGTCTATTGTTGTTAGCCGGCAGCAGGTGCGGATGGCTGAGGAGAGCGAGGACTCAGATGAGGGGCCAGGACCATTAGGGAGTGGACTGCTGCCTTCAGAGATTGTGGGGGCTGGCAGCAGCGATGAGGAGGTTCCCGAGGAGCCTGTGCCAAGTGTGCGTGCGCACAAGGTTGCTCGCAGGAAAGAGCAACTGCAGCAGCATGGGCGACTCGGGAGTAAGGCTGCAAGGTAATGGCCCCTCCCTCAAGAAGATAAAAGCCAGCTGTGAATTGGACGTTCTTTGCAGGAAGCAAAGATGTTTTGAAACTTTAGCCTCGTGGACATTGCAGTATCTTAGTTGGTATTTGAAGACTCTTGTGTTGTAAAATATTTCTCGGTAACCTTATATGTTATTTTTGGCAGCCTCGCACAGTTTTGGCGAGGCTCGTGGTTATCAAAGTTAATTAGTTTGCAGCAGCCTTTTAACCGGGGATTCGTAAGAATCATTAAAAGGTTTCTGTTCCTTTTGGTTCGTGTTGGTTTTATTGGACAAGGGTTTGGGTCAGAACACCGTCATAAATAATGAATCCGTTGACATGCATCTGAATTTATGATCGTGTGACCGTGGGGATGCTGGAACGATCATAACTCTGAAAAACGGTCGCTTTTTTTTCCTGTGCCGTTGTAACCTTGAACCGTCACTAAACAAACCGTTGTCAGTGGAGGACTCCCTGTATTTCTGACCACTAATTTTGAGCCTTTTTTTTTTTTTTCCTCTCCTGCCAGGTAAACCTGAGTGAACAGCAGGTCTCCTCCAGTTTGTTTATCAGGGCCCTGATGATGTCAGTGTGCCATTCCGCCGTAGTCTGTAAGCCTTTACTGTTATCAAAGGGCACCGGGTGGGGGAGCTTTGCGGGAGGCACATGCTCTGGGGATCCCATTCAGCTAAATTGGGTGAAGTTACTCTCAGTTGAGAAGAGCAGCCCCCCCCCCCCATCAGTCCCTCAGTAGCATTTCCTGGTGGTCAGGACCCCCTCAGTATGGATTGGGCTACAGAACATAGCTGATGGTGTTGGCCAGACCGCTAAGGTGGCAGGCCAAGAGACCTGGAAAGCAAACTTAGAAACTGCAGAATTCCAGCCTCTAAGACCCCCTCCACCATTGGCCTGTCCAGCTGGCTAGAATCAGAACTGTGTATCTTCACCTTAAGGAGAGAGATCCATGGAGATTCTTAGCCATCCAGATGTTGGTTGTCCCAAAGGTGCTTTTTTTTTTTTTTTTCCTTTTCTAAACGGCAACTGGAATTTCTCGTTTGTTTTTTCTTTGAAAACATTTCGCTTCTCCTCCAAGAAGCTTCTTCTGTTCTAACTTCCATTAGAACTGGACGAGAAGAGAAACGTTTGCAACGAGAAAAAAACAAGAAAATCCAGTTGCCCTTCGGGGAGGTGGGAGTGGAGAGAGCACCTCTGGGACAACTTAAGGAGAGCTTTGTGACCAGAAGTTGTCCTAGCCCAGTAGTATGGCTTGGGATATATTTTCTACAAATTCACCATCTTTGAGGCAGAAATGATCTTGGGAAGGCGAGACAGCTCAACTATGATGTGCTGAATATTAATTAATTAAATTTGTTGGCTTGGGAAAGCAAGACAGGTCAACTATGATGTGCTGAATATTTATTTATTTGATTGATTGATTGGCTGCCCATCTTACAATAGGGTAACTCTGACCAGCTTAACAATAATAAAAATTGTATCTATAGGTATACGTTAAAACATAAATGCATTAAAACAAAACATTAACATCTTAAGGACATGTGGGGAGGAGGGTGTGGGCAGGATCTGTTGTTACTCGGTCAACCACCTCCGCTGTGCTGTTCCCCTATTGGGACCTGGAAGTTTTTAAGCCATTATGAAAAGATAGGAGGGTTGGGGCCAACCTCACATGGGGAGCGGATGTGGGGCAAGATGTTCCAGAGCCACAGCAGAGAAGGCCCAATTCCTGAACCTGAATCCTCTTCCAGGATTATTCCTGGAGTCAGAATAATTGGGAAGGCGGGACTCGCAGCATGCCTCCTCCTCTGCCAACACGAGTGATACGGGCCAGTCCCAGTGGAGTGAGATGGTCTCACAAGTTACCTTGACCCAGACCATGAAGGGCTGTGGTTGGTTAGCTGTGTGTAACAGGGAAGCCCAAACCAAACCGGTAGCATTTGGGCTCACCACTGTTGGCATAGCCCACCATTAAAGGGCAAGAGTTGAAAGGTTTTAGTGGTTCTCCTAGTTGGAATTAGCTTCACTGCCACATCGGGCTTCAGGTATACAAGAAGCTCACGTCTTCCTTCCACCCCCAGCCATTTCCTCTTGGGCTAGGCCTTGAAGAACAATAGCAATAGCACTTCGACTTATATACAGCTTCACAGTGCTTTGCGGCCCTCTCTAAGCGGTTTACAGAGTTGCCCCCCACAATCTGGGTCCTCCTTTTCCCTGACCCCGGGAGGATGGGAGGCTGAATCAACCTTGAGCCGGTCAGGATCGAACTGTTGGCAGATGGCAGAATTCACCCACAGTTTTACATTACAGTACTGCCATCCTCTCTCGCTGCTTTCCTCTCACCACAATCCCAAGTTCTGACTAGTCCCACAGGAGCAGAGAGGAATAAAAAGATCTCGTCAGTGCTGAGTGAGACAGGGGCCTTGGTGATTCCCCACAGTGTGAGAGGTGAGGAGGACAGGGCGAACCCTGGCCAAGTTTAACCCCTTCACCAAATAGAGTCATGTTTGATGGGACCGGTCCAGAATTAGAATAGGATGTTCCCCTAGCAGGCGTGTTGAGGAATGGCACCCCTGACCCTCCCAAGATCCTATTAGTAGCAGAGGGAGGGTCTGGGGAAGAGGTTGTGAATGTTGCTAGCGTCCTCTTTGGCATAAAACTGTCCACTGTCCATTTGTTCAGCTGACCTCTCCCTTTCTTTCTCTGTTACAGTCGAGAATCCTTACCGGATGGACAATCTTGTGATTAACAGCCGAGCCAAGCTGCTGCAGAAATACTTGAGTGATGAAGATAAGGAGCTCCAGGCCCTTTATGCTTTACAAGCCCTAGTGGTGAAGCTGGACCAGCCAGCAAGTAAGTTCTTCTCTCTCTCTTCCAGAAAAATCAGGCATGATATTCTTCCGATTAAAATCGGAATTCCGATCTTTTTGGAAATCGCCCCCTCCTTTCCCCCCACCCCTTCTTCTCCTCCTTCCCCTCCCCTCGGAGGCCCCGAGTCAGGAGTTGCTGGCGCGGCTCCGCACGGCTCCAGTCCCACGTTGCCTCAGGAAGGGAAAGGCAAAAAGGAAGAGCCGCGACGGCGCTTTGCAATGGCAGCAGCGGCTCCTGGTTTTGCCTTTCCCTTTCCGAGGCAACGTGGGACTGGAGCCGCGTGGAACTGCACCGGCGGTAGCAACTCCTGACAGCCCCAGCCGGATACCTGAGCGGAACCTGGGTGGTGCGAGCGGAGGCCGCTGAGCGGCAGGAAAAGGGAGCTGGGCCAGCCACAGACCAGCCTCCGTGCAACACGCCACCGCCTGGCCCTGGCGAGGGAAAGCAGCGGGTGCTCCCCGGGCGCGCGGCGGGGGGTCTCTTGGCCGGCCCCGATTTTTTTTTCAGAGCGGAATATCATGCCTGAAAAATGATCCTAAGCGAGGGAGGGAGGGAGGGAAGGACATAAAGTCAGTGGCATGAATTCCCCATCCAGAAGTGTGGAAACCAAGCAAAACTTCCCCTGAATAGCAAACCTGGACTCTGCTTACTGTGTTTCTCTGAAAATAAGACCGGGTCTTATATTCATTTTTGGCTCCAAAAGAGATGCATTGGGTCTTATTTTCAGGGAAATACTGGCACTAAATGCGTCCGTCTGGTTGACAATCTTAACAGAGCTTATTTTGGGGATACTGCTGATGAGTAGCCTGAAAAATGCTAGGGCTTATTTTCCGGCCGGGTCTTAATTTTCAGGGAAACAAGGTAAGCTGTACTCACACACTCATGCATGTTTCTGTCTTGCGAGAATTGGAGTTTGAATCATAAAGGACAGGTGTCTATGGAGATTCCCAATTATCCAGGTCTGGTTGTCCCCAAAGGTGCTTTTCCCAAAAGACAACTGGACTTTATTGCATTTTTATTTTTTAAATAAAACATTTAGCTTCTCACCCAAGAAGCTTCTTCAGTTCTGAACTGAAGAAGGTTCTTGGATAAGAAACAAAACATTTTCAAAGGGGAAAATAGCCTTTTGGGAAAAGCACCTTTGGGACTAAAGGACAAGTCAGGTGGAAATAAAAATTCTGAGCAGCCTTACGATCTGGCCACCTTTTTGGATATGTTGTCCAGGTAGTCCTTGGCTTAAGACCACAATCGAGCCCAAAATATCTGTTCCCAAGTCAGGCAGCTGTTAAGTGAGTTTTGCCCACATTACGACCTTTCCTGCCACAGTTGTTCCCTGAATCACTGCAGTTATTGAGTTAGTAACCCAGTTGTTCAGTGAATCTGGCTTCCTCGTTGACTTTGCTTCACAAAAGGGGATCACATGGCCTTGGGACATAGCAAAGGTCATAAAGCTGAACCAGTTGCCAGGCGTTTTAATTTCGATCACATAATCATGGGGATGCTGTGAAAGTCATAAGTGTGAAAAACGGTCATAAACCATTTGTTTTCCAGTGCCGTTGTAACTTTGAACGATCACTAAGCAAACTGTTGTAAGTCAAGGATTACCTGACCTTTAGGAAAATCCAGTAGATCTCTGTGTTTTCCCCAAATAAGACCCTGTCTTATATTTTTTTTGCCACCCAAAAAAGGCACCGGGTCTTATTTTGGGAGGATGTCATCCACTGACTAACCTCACTTGCGCGCATCGCCCCCGGCCTCCTTTTCGCAATCAGAGGCCTTCGGGAACTACTACTTCTGCGGCTGGCAAGGCTTTCCTGAAGGCCTCTGCAGCTGATAATAGAGCTCTGGATCGATCCAGGGCTTTGATATCAGCTACAGAGGCCTTCAGGATAGCCTTGCCGGCTGCAGAAGAAATGGGCCGGTAAGGCAGGTGTTGTGGTGTGCGAGGCCTGGCTACAACTGTCCAAAGGTAAGTAGTAGGGGAGCTCCACCCCCAGCCCCACCCTAGCTTAATTTTTACCCATGCACTCTGGAGTGGGAGGGATCTTAATTAGGGCTTATTTTGGGGGTAGGGCTTATATTGGGCGCATGTTTAAAAGATCAAGCTAGGACTTACTTTTTCAGGATAGGTCGTATTTTCAGGAAAACAGGGTAGTTGCTTTGATCACAAGGAAAGAGAAGGAAGGAAAAAATCCCCCAGTGCTCCGAAACTGGACTTTTCAAAACCATCGAGCCAATGTGCCTTTCAAAAATGCTACGTTTCCACTTTTTTTCCCCCCCCTTAAACCCCGTCTTCCTTAGACAAGCTGGTTAGCAAACGAGGACACTGAAGCAGAACAGAAGGCATCAGAAGTGGGAAAAATTGGTTTTAGGCACCTTAGGAACCAGCTGCGCTCTTCCACTCGATCGTGCATTCAGATAGCAGGATTTTGATGTTTTTGGTAGGAAACACATATGCCTGATTATAATGGAGGGGGAAATTACAGACAGAGAGAAACATCCTTTGATCAGCGTGACAGGAAAGGAGTCTGAAATTATCAGGCCTTAAGGCTGAATTTTGAAGACGTTCTGGCAGATGGTTTGCAAAAAAAGATAGGAAGATTAGAATATATATATATATATATATATATATTCTCCATGCTTTACTGATTATCATGGGGGGGTTTAAATTCTGGCCTTTTTTCCTTCCTCCTGTGTTTTGCAAAGGGGGGGGGATTTTGATGAGGTTAAAGTAATAACAGGCGTTCCTCGGCTTAACGGCCACAACCGAGCCCAACATTTCCGTTAAGTGCATTTTGCTGCGTTTTGCGATGGCTCTTGCCACAGTCGTTAAGTGAAGCGCAACAGTGAAACGTTGGTGGCACGGTTGTGAAGCGAATCTGGCTTCCCCTTTGACTTTGCTTGTGAGAAGGTCGCAAATGGGGATCGCGTGACCCCGGGGCCCTCCAAACGGTCATAACTACTTGGCAGTTGCCAAGTGACCGAATTTTAATCCCACGTTGGTCATGTGGTCATTTATAAGTGAGGAAAACAGGCATGTGACTTTTTTCAGTGTTGTTGTAACTTTGCACGGTCACTACACAAACGGTTGTAAGTCGAGGCCTACCTGTACTTTTTGTTTTCTTCTTCTCCAGAAAGAGTAAAATAATGTGGTTTTTTTCCCTCTCCTCCCCCAAACTTGGCAACTTTAAGATGTGTAGAAACTGACTGGGGAATTCTGGGAGTTGAATCCGAACACCTTTAACATCTCCAAGGTTTAGAAACAGTACTTTTTAAATCCAAGAATCTTATACAGGTGGTCTTCAATTTACAACGACGATTGAGCCCAAAATCTCTGTTGTTCAGTGAGACGTTAGCAGTACTTCTTTAATCCAAGAACCTTATATATGTAGTACTGGATTTACGATGACAATTGAGCCCAAAATCTCTGTTGTTCAGTGAGACATTAACAATACTATTTTAATCCAGTAAGTTTATAGTGGTAGTCCTCGATTTACGATGACAATTGAGCCCAAAATCTCTGTTGTTCAGTGAGACATTTGTTGTCTCGTTTTATGGCCTTTCTTGCCAATGGATCACTGCCATTGTTAAATTAGGGACACTGTTGTTAAGTGAATCCGGCTTCTCCCTTGACTTTTTGCATGGCAGAAGGTCGCAAAAGGGGATCACTTCACCCCAGGACACGTCGTAAATATGAACGGTTGTCAAGCATTTGGATTTGGATCGCGTGACCTCGGGGATGCTGCAGTGGTCGTAAGTTTGAAAAATGGTCATAAGTTCCCTTTTTTCAGTGCCATTATAACTTTGAGCGGTCACTAAATGAACTTTTGTAAGTCGAGGAGAACTGTGTTTCTCTGGGAATGGAGTGCACTGACATTGTCGACCGTTGCTATTTTCCTAGCAAGGAACAAAACCCACAAACAGTACAAATTCCCGTTGGGCCTCTTAACGATCAACATAACTCAGGTGTGTGTTACCTGAGCCCCAGGTTTATAAGCCGTCCTCCAAAGCCTTGGAGGGGCAACCCTCAAAAGTGGCCATTGCACGGTTTAATTTCTGTTTCTCAAATGTTCACACGCTGCCAGCTGCCAAATCCTTAAAGGGATATGCAAAGAAAAAGAAGCTTGCCTCGAATATTAACGAAGTATTCAATTAAAACCACCAGCAATTTATATTAAGATAGTGCAATGCTATCAAGGTAGTTAAAATAGCAATAGCCCTTAGGCTTATATACCGCTTTGCAGTTTTTTTACAGCCCTCTCTAAGCAGTTTACCGAGTCAGCCTATTTCCCCCCCCCCCCCCCCAAAAAATATGGGTCCTCAGTTTACCGACCTCAGAAGAATGTAAGGCTGAGTCAACCTTGAGCCGATCAAGATCGACCTGCTGGCAGTCGGAAGAATTAGCCTGCAATACTTGCATTCCAAAATAATGCGCGCTGTAAAAGGGACACGGTGGCTCAGTGGCTAAGACACTGAGCTTGTTGATCAGAAAGGTCGGCAGTTCAATGGTTCGAATCCCTAGCGCCGCGTCACGGAGTGAGCTCCCGTTCCTGGTCCCAGCTTCTGCCAACCTAGCAGTTCGAATGCATGTAAAAAAAAAAATGCAAGTAGAAAAATAGGAACCCCTTTTGGTGGGAAGGTAACAGTGTTCTGTGCGCCTTCGGCATTTAGTCATGCCGGCCACATGACCGCGGAGACGTCTTCGGACAGCGCTGGCTCTTCGGCTTTGTAACGGAGATGAGCACCGCCCCCTAGAGCCGGAAAGGACTAGCATGTATGCGCGAGGGGAACCTTTACCTTTACTGAATTCTAACCACCGTGCCCCCCAACAGCTCTTTTAAAACACATCAAATTGGGTTTTTTTTTTCCTCTCTCTCCTGCCTTTTGAAGTCCAGCCCTCCTGCTTGGTTCTGAGACCTGAGAAATATTGCAGGCCAAAAACTGCATTGCCAACCTTTTGCAACCTGGCATTTCCCAGATGTGTCGAGACTCTTCACTTGGAAAACCTCTCTGGCCCGGTACATGTAGTACATCCTGGGAGTTGTAGTCCCAATTTATCCAATGGGCGCAACCTTTGGGGAAGGCCAGGATGTGTTATCTTTCTCCGATGAGGAAAGAAACTGGGCTTGGACAGTTAGGCGCACAACTTTTAATAAAAAGCCGTGGCTGAAGTTGCTACCGCTATAAAAGGACGAATATTACTCCAGGTAGCCGTTGACTTACAACCATCTGTTTAGTGCAGAGGTCTCCAAACTTGGCAACTTTAAGACTTGTGGACTTCAATTCCCAGAATTCTCCAGCCAGCAAAGCTGGCTGGAGAATTCTGGGAGTTGAAGTCCACAAGTCTTCAAGTTGCCAAGTTTGGTAGACCCCTGGCTTCAACAGCACTGGGGGGAAAAGTGACTTATGACCAGTTTTCACACTTAACGACCGTTGTAGCACCCCCATGGTCATGTGATCAAAATTGAGAAGCCTGGCAACTGGCATGTATTTTATGACGTGTATCCCAGTGCCATGCAAATATCTTTTGCGACCTTCTGACAAGCACGATTAATGGGGAAGCCCGATTCACTTAACAACCATGTCACAGGTAGTCCTCAACTTACAATCGTTCATTTTTGGCATTTTGTTACAACGGCACTGAAAAAAGTGACTTAGGACTGTTTTTCCACGCATAACGACGGTGACAGCATTCCCCAAGGTCTTACGATCAAAATCCGGGTGCTCGGCAACCGACTCGCATTTATGACGGTTGCAGCATCCCAGAGTTATGTGATTCACTTTTAACAATCGTGTTATTAATTTTAAACATCCTGCCGCGATTCACTTTAGCAAGCGTGGCGAGGCAAAAGTGGCACTTCACAAATGTCTCACTTGGAGAGACAGATTTTGGGCTCCGTTGTGGTCGCAAGTCAAGAACTACCTGTAACTAAACATATAAACAACCGCAGCGATTCACTGAACAACGGTGGCAAGGTGGGGTGAACGGTGGTAAAAATGGGGGCAAAACTCACTTAGCCCCCAGAAACGTTTGGGCTCACCTGTGGTCGTAAGTCAGGGACTGCCCGTATCAAGGCTCAGCAGGCAAAGGTCCTCCTCACCAGCTGACCTGTCCTCTCTGTCAACTCATAAAAATATTTCTATGGTCTCTTTAGAGTTGCCAACAGAAAGAGAGGGGGGAGCAGTGTGGTAGCTTGCAAACCGAAACTGCATTTTATCAATGTTTTCAAAGATAGTAACTAGGGTGACCGAAGTTTCTGCCGTGCAAAATTCTAACTGGAGAGCATGATTGATGATTCTTGGCTATGGATGTGTCCCATTGGAAAATATTGAATTATGATACACCCGGGGGGTGGGGGGAAAACCAGGGTCAAGGGTGACCATGAATGTTGTGCCTCAGAGTCAGCTGCACGCAGGCAGTGCCGGCATGTTAAACTCCCAATAAATCCTTTCTGGAAGTTTTTGGAAGTTTGGCTCAAGACTCATGATTTAAATGGGGGTGGGGGTGTTAAGTAAACTGCCGCAATCCTGACACTCTCCTTGCTTCCAGATCTCCTCCGAATGTTCTTCGATGCCTTGTACGACGAGGACGTCATTAAAGAGGACGCCTTCTACAAGTGGGAGTCGAGCAAGGACCCAGCCGAGCAGCAAGGGAAAGGCGTCGCCCTCAAGTCGGTCACAGCCTTTTACACTTGGTTGCGTGAAGCTGATGACGAATCCGACACCAACAATTGAGCAGCCCGCAAGAGTGGGGAGGGCGGCCGGGGTGGGTGGGGGCAGACCGAACCTGCCCTGCTGCTGCTGCTCTGGCCCCCTCCTTGGAGCCTGGACTCCCTTGGGGCGCTGGCGTGGAGGGGGGGGGAACGAGGAGGCGCAGGGCTGACCTCTGCCACTTTTTTTTTCCTCCCGCCCGCCCTCATTAAGACTACTTCTTTCTTTTTATTTTTTTTCTCCTTTCTTTTCCCTTTTTTTCCCCCCCCCTTTTTCCTTTTTATTTTTTTGGTTGGGATTTTTTTTTCTCTTTTTCTTTTTTTTTTTTCCGTTTTAACAGCCTGTATTGGTTTGTGTCTGATGATAATAAATTGATGCTCAAGGAGGTAGGTGTTGCTGTGGGCGCTCCGCTCAGCCCCCCACCCCACCCCTACCCCGCCCCTCCCTCTCTCTCTGGGCACCTGCCCTGAATGATTTTTCCTGAGTGGGGGGGAGGGGAGGGGACGACCCCACCCCCCAATTCTTCTGGTGCAAAGCACCCCCTGAAACACATGTCTTTGGATGGAAAATGAGGGTGGGTAGCCAACCCAATGCCTACGCTCCTGCCATCTCTCTCTCTCTCTCTCTCTCTCTCCCTCTCCCTCCTTCCCTCCTCCCCCCCTCTCTCTCTCCTCCCTCAACCCTCCTTTTCTCCACTTTATGGCTGAAATATAGAGATTATATAAATATATATATAAAATATAAATATAGACTTATTAAATCTTTTTTGAGGTTGGAGAATAGAACTCTTTAAACTGGCCACAAATGGCTCTTCCCCCCCCCTCTCCCCCCCTCCCCACGCCCACCACCACGGCTGCCTTGGCCTTCGCGGGCCAACCTCACCCCTTCGCACCCTTGCCGTCTCGCCCTGCGCCGTCCCGCCTCCGAGCGCACGGAAAGGGCCGCAACCCGCTTTGTTCTGCACTTGGATAGTTAACGGAGCTGCTGCGCGCTTGTAATGGAAAGGAAAACAAAACAAAAAGCAAACGACAACGAAACCACAAACAAAACAAACTTTATAAACAAAAAACAAAAAATGGATACAATTACCGTTCACGTGAATTTGTAAATATTTTTTTTTTCCTCCTTTTTCTTTCTTTTTTTTCCTTGTTTTTGTTTTCTTTCTTTACGGAGTATTTAATTGAAGATTCAAAAAAAAAAAAAAGCATCTTTTCACCGTAAACTGGAAATAATAATAATAATAATAATAATAATAAAAAAAGAACATTGCTTAAACCAAGGTGATGTGTGGGTGATGTCGCCTTCCCCGCCCGATCGGGGCAGGAATTTTGGGAGTGAAAAAACACAGCGTCTTGTATCACCCAGCCTGCCAAAACAAAGAGAGAGAGAGAGAGAGAGAGGAAGGGGAGGAGGCTCGGAAGTTGCCCCTGTGTTCGAGCTGCTCAATACGGAACAATTTGGCATGTTGTTCGAAGCCTTTTGAAACAGAAAGCGTGCTACTTTGGAAAAAGAAAAAAAAGTGGGGGCAGGAGAAAGAATAGGCCTGAAGAAATTCCACGGCGAAGAGGAAAGAGGCAACGTAGAAAGGAAGGTTATTGTAAGTTCGGCGATGCTTATGATTACATGCGGCCATGGCTAATTTTGATGGGACGTGAAAAATAAAGTCTTTGGACAGGTTCCTTGCAAGTTTTGAAGCGTTATAGAGTTGTCTCCCAAATTGTGTTTGGAAAAAAAAAAAAATTTCGAATGGCAATGACCTCGTTAACGGTGTTTTCATTGGAAGAATCATTGTGTCTTGACTATCTCTGCTTTCTAGACCTTTCTAGAGTAGTCCTTAAACCAAGGATCTTCAAACTTGGCAAGTTTAAGACTTGTGGACTTCAAACTCCCAGAATTCCTGAGCTAAGATGACTGGAGGAGGAGGAATTCTGGGAGTTGAAGTCCACAAGTCTTAAAAGCTGTCCAGTTTGAAGACCCCTGCCTTGGATTGAAAGGCACCGAGCATTCCCATCCTAAGAAGCAGGTTAACACTTGGACTTAACGCAGGTAGTCCTCGGCTTACAACCTTTCGTTTAGTGGCTGTTCAAAGTTACAATGGCACTTGCGACCGTTTTTCACACTTACGACCATAGCAGCTTCCCCGTGGTTGGGTGATCGATGGGTCAGCTTATCAACTGACTCATATTTATGACGGTTGCCGTATCCCGGGGTCATCATGGGATTCCTTTTTGTGACCTTTCAAGACAAGTCAATGAGGAAGCCAGATTTACGTACTAACTTAACAGCGGCTATGATTAACTTAACAAAAAAGTAAAATTGGGCAAAACTCAGTTAAACAATGTCTCGCTTAGCAACACAAATGTTGGGCTCCATTGAGGTCGTAAGTCAAGGACTACCTGTAGAGGTAGTCCTTAACAGTTCATTTAGCGACTGCTCAAAAGTTACGACAGCACTGAAACGGACGTATTCCCTCATAGTCACGGGATCCAAATTTGAATGCTTGGCAACTGACTCGTATTTACGATGGTTACAGTGTCCTGGGGGTCAGGTGATCCCTTTTTGTGACTTTCTTAACGAGCAAAACTGACGGGGAACCCAGATTCACTTTAACAGCTGTGTGACTAACTTAACAGCTGCAGTGATTCCCTTAACAACTGTGGCACGGAAAGGTCGTAAAATGGTGCAGAATTCACTTTTCACAACTATTTCACTGAGCAGCAGAAATGTTGGCCTCAAATGAGGTTGTAAGTCAAGGACTACCTGTATATATATATATATCTCCATGGTAGGAGAGTCAACTCATAAAGCATTCCTATGCCTGTTTTAGTTGCCATTAAAAAGGGAGGGGAGGAAATCTGGAAGAAGAGTGCAGCAGTTTGGAAGTGGAAGTACATTCTAACATCTTTAAAAGATTGTAACTAAAATACCAGAGTTTTTACCCCATGAATATATTTAATTGGAGAACGTGATGGATGACACCCAAGTCTGTGAAGGTGCTCAATTGGAGAATCTGGTTTAAAACGGTCATGGGTGACTGTATGTGACGTATGCCAGAGTTGGCTTCACACAGGGCAGGGCCAGTAAGTCGCCTCTAATAAATCCTTTTGACGTTTCTTGAGAACCATGACTTAATGAGAGCGATTGCTGGAATCCTGACAAGGAGTCTCGGTGATTTTTAAAGACTTGAGCACTTCAACTCCCAGGATTTCTCAGCCAACCTGGCTGGCTGGGGTGTTCTAAAGAGTTCAAATCCCCAAGTCTTATTAAAGTGGCCAAAAGTTGGAGGACCCTGCTCTGATCCAAGCATGAGGCATAGCAGCTTTTTCCTTAACTCTGTTCTTTATTGCGCACACATTCTGGATTGCCCCGAACCAAAAAGGGGGTGATTAAATTGATCCACTTTTTTTAACGGCTGCCCCGATATCTTGACCTACCGAATTTAAACCGCAGGCACCAGCCAGTTTTTGTTTTAGAATGGGCTTCAGCCTTCAAAAACCAAGCCCGGTGGCATTTAAGGGCTCGCTAAACCAGTTTGTCTTTAACTGTCCTGTTAATATGGAAGGGTATGCCTGGAATAAGGGTTACTGCTGCAGGCACCCCCATTAAGGTTATAAAGAGTGCCATCCCAGTGTATTGTAAGACGCGTGTGGTTTCCTGGATTTTTATGCCGGTAAAATTAAGGATTTTATGTCACCACATGAAATGAACCCTAGTGATGCAACGGTTAGAACGCAGGATTGCAAGCCTAATTTTGCCAATGGGCGAGTCTCACCGTCTCGTGGTTGACTTGGCCTTCCATCCTTCCAAGGTTGGTAAAAGGAGGATTGTGGGGGGCAATAGGCTGACTCTAAGCCGCTTAGAGCTGTAAAACACCAAAGCAGTACATAAGTTGATTGCTTATTGCTTTGAGCAGTGCGTGCATACATTAGGTTTAGCAAAGGATTGTCTTTATAGCATTAAGTGTGTCGGGAAAACAGTAGATCCTTCTCTGTGTATGATCTGTTTTCCACAGGCCATTCTTGCAGAATATGGTAGACCAGAGGTCTCCAAACTTGTCAACTTTAAGACTTGTGGACTTCCAACTCACAGAATTCTCCAGCCAGCTATGCTAGGAGTTGAAGTCCACAAGTCTTAAAGTTGACAAGTTTGGGGATCCTTATGGTAGATCTTAACAGTTAAGGTTACATTACAATTGGCTGGGCAAGAATAAGAGTGTAGTGCATCAATTCCACACCTGGTGCATCTAGAGCCACATTCCTCAAACTTGGCAGGTAGAAAATGGGTGGACTTCAACTCCCAGATTTCCACACATCTTCAAGCCACCAAGTTTGAGCTACGTTGATCTAGAACAGTTGTCCACATTTGGGGGATTGATAGATCGTCCTTGACTGAGGACCAGAAATTCCATTGCTAAGCAAGATGGTTAAGTAACTTGTGCCAGATTTTATGATTTATTTTTTTGGGCCACGGTGGTTAAAACAAATTACGGTTGTTAAGTGAATCGTGTGGTCATTAAGCAAATCCAGCTTCCCTCCCCATGACTTGGCTTGTGGGAACCCATTTGGGAAGATCACAAATGGCGATTAGCATCATAAACAGATGCTGGTTGCCAAGCACCTAAATTTTAATTGCGTCACTGAGGATGCTCCCACGGTCAGATAACAGATGACAGATAATCAGAGTTGGAAGGGACCTTGCAGGTCATCTAGTCCAACCCCCCACCCAAGCAGGAGACCCTACACCGTTTCTGACAAGTGGCAGTCCAGTCTCTTCTTGAAAGTCTCAAGTGATGGCACTCCCACAACTTCTGAGGGCAACTTCTCTTCCATGGGTTGGTTGTTCTCACTGCCAGAAAGTTTCTCCTTATATCCAGGTTAAATCTCTCCTTGTTCAGTTTTCATCCATTATTCCTTGTCTGGCCTTCGGGTGCCTTGGAGAATAGCTTGACCCCTTCCTCCTCTCTGTGGCAGCCCCTCAAATATTGGAAGACAGCTATCTTGTCTCCCCTGGTCCTTCTCTTCACTAGACTAGCCAAGCCCACTTCCTGTAACCGTTCTTCATATGCCTTAGCTTCCAGTCCCCTAATCACCCTGGTTGCTCTTCTCTGCACTTTTTCTAGAGTCTCAACATCTTTTTTATAACGTGGTGACCAAAACTGGATGCAGTACTCTAGGTGTGGTCTTACTAAGGCTTTATAGAGTGGTATTAGCACCTCCCTTGATCTCGATTGTATCCCTCTGTTAATACAACTTAGGATTGCATTGGCTTTTTTGGCTGCTGCTACACATGGCTGGCTCATGCTGCACACTGCTGGTCATAAGTATGAGGACTGGTGGTAGGTCTTTTTCAGTGCCATTGTAACTTCAGTCACCAAACAAATACTTTCAAGTACGGGTAGTCCCCAACTTGTGACCATAATGGAGCCCAACATTTCTGTCCTTAAACGAGACGGTTGTTTGTTTTTCTCCATTTTATGACCTTTCTTGCCAAAGTTATTCAGTGAATCATTGCTGTTTGTTAAATGACTGGCTTCCCCGTTGGCTTTGCTTGTCATGTGGTCACAAAAGGGGATGACATAACTCTGGGACACCAACTATCATAAATATGAATCCGTTGCCAAGCATCTGAATTTTGATCACATGACCCTGGGGGATGCTACAACGGCCATACATGTGAATAAGTCCCTTTTTTCAGTGCCGTTTTAACTTTGAGCAGTTACCCAAATGAATTGTTATAATTTGAGGACTTGCATGTACAAGGTTTAGGGTACAGAATCACTTAAGGACTCTTAAAGATTCTAAGAACTTTGCTTGAAGAAGGCCAGCAGTGAATTTGGTAAAAAATAATAAAATTGGGAATAGAAGTAGCCAGTCACTCTTTCTGTTCACACTTTTTCTGGTTTTACCCAGTTAACACTTGGAATGATGCGAAATGATAGACATTTTGAGCCGGTGATATTTGTGGGAAAGGTAAGTTCTTTTGAATAAGGAAGTATGGGGGGAAAAACTGCTGCATATGGCA